CCTGACGATTCGTTCAGGTAGTTAAGCCACCGACGACACATATACTATTCGATGCAGAATTTCAAGCTCTATCAAATGCTGTACAACTTGCACGACTCACGACCAGTCGTAGAGGGTTTCACCGTAAAACCTTTAAAAACCTGAAGAAAATGACATTTCTAGCCATTAATTCGCCTGACGATTCGTTCAGGTAGGTAAGCCACCGGCGACACATATACTATTCGATGCAGAATTTCAAGCTCTATCGAGTGCTGTACAACTTGCACGACTTACGACCAGTCGTAGAGGGTTTTGACCGTAAAAACCTTTAAAAACCTGAAAAAATGAAATTTCTACCCATTCATTTCCCTGACGATTCGTTCAGGTAGTTAAGCCACCGGCGACACATATACCATTCGATGCAGAATTACAAGCTCTATGGAATGACGAACAACTTGGGCGGTTCGCTAGCAGTGAGATTGTGTTCTCAACCTAGAACTCAGATAAACTGCGAAAAGTGGGAATTTCTACCCATCAATTTCTGAGACGATTGGTTTCGGCACTGAAGCCACCAACGAAAATTGCAGAATTCAGTTGAAAATGTCGCGCCGTATATGTTTGTATATGTCGTGCATGCATAGACGGAAATGAGATAGCAGTTGGAAGGGCTTGCGATGAAAAGTGGGTAAAATTGGTATGTGTCCTTAGCAATTGTTGTGCTCATTCGTTTGGATTCAAGGGCTGCAGAGAAAACGCATTACATTTGGCGCAGAATCAGACGCTGTTTTGAGTAGTACACTGCTTATATGGCTAGGCACCAGATTGATAACAGCTTGATATATCGATCTGCTAGAATTGGAAGAGAAAGTGGGATTTCCTTCCATTAAGGCTCCTAACGTTTCGAGATAGGGCATAAATCAGGGGTGATGTATGTCGCATGTAATCCAAATTCTGCACCGCATCTGGTAATGGCACCCGTCCGCGCAGAAAAGAAAGATTTCAGAAGCCTGTGAAACGAAAGTGGCTTGGACAAATAGTCAAACTCCCCTGTGATCGGCCGTGAGCCCCGCAGGTTGTACAGCACTCGATAGAGCTTGAAATTCTGCATCGAATAGTATATGTGTCGCCGGTGGCTTACCTACCTGAACGAATCGTCAGGGGAATAAATGGCTGTAAATTTCATTTTTTTCAGGTTTTTAAAGGTTTTTACGGTGAAAACCTTCTATAATTGGTCGTGAGCCATGCAGGTTTTACAGCATTCGATAGAGCTTGAAATTCTGCATCGAATGATATATGTTCCGTGTGTGGCTTAAGCACCTGAATGAATCGTCAGAGGAATTAATGGGTACATTTTGCAAGTTTTCTGGTTTTGATGGTTTTTTGTGTCAAAAGCGTCTTTGATTGATGGTGAGGCGTGCAAGTTGTATACCATTCGATAGAGCGTAAAATTCTGCATCTAATAGTGTGGTTTTCAGAAGTGGCTTAAGTTTCTGTGCGAATCGTCAGAGGTAATACTTTCGAAAACCCTGTTTTGGAGACTTTCCAAGAACGCAGTCTGTTATGGGAGACTTTTATCGAAATGATTTATATGCCGTTGGATAGAGCATAAAATTCTGCGTCGATTGATGTATGACTCACGAGTGGCTTAAGTACTCAGGCGAATCGTCATAGGTTTTAGGAAAAATGGTAGTTTTCTCCTATGGGTGTTTTTGATTGTTTTGGCTTTTTTGGCGTTGAGGTGGGAGTTTCGGCGAATCTGAGGACATCATTAGATAGAGCTCATCGAGTTCTAGATGGCTTACTAGTTTTCTTTTGTGGCTTAGTCCCTCAGGCGAATCGTTGTGGAAAATACTCGAATCGGCTGCTAACTTTTCTTAGATCCCCGTATATATGTATATCTGTATGATATGAAAGAATCCAGAAGATTCAATAGAGATTTTACATCCTAAAAACTAAAATCATTTTTTTATTTAGATGATGATATATGAAAATTTGTTTAAAAATAACAAACATGGAAAAATAAAAGTTAATATTGTCCACTTAAATAATTTATAATTGTTGCTGTGTATTGCTGTCGATTTTCTTTCATATCTTTTTCTTTTTCTGATTCACATTCTAAGCTGAAAAAAATTCAAAATATTATTGATATTTTATTTTAAATGTCTTTATACCTTTTCTTTTCAATAGGTCTTTAATGTCAACTTGGGTCTCCATGCGTGTCAGCTAAAAAAAGTATCTGTTTCTTGTTGTGTCAAATTTGTAGTCTTGTCATCGATTTTCTTTTTCAATCTTCTAATATTTTTTATTTCTTATGAATCCAGATGGCACGTCTCTCTTTAATACCATTGATATACATATGCTAAATAAAAAAGACTGCTCCTTTCTGTGTACGCATTATCTTACTCCACTTTCTTTTCTGTTCCATTAATTATGTATTGCCATACAGCTTATAAAGAAGGATATCTTGTTCAAATGGCAAATTGAAAGATACTGACGACGATCTTCACATCATTGTTTGCAGATCATTTTTCTCTGTTTGTTGCCTTTTATCATGTTGTGTCCATTAAAAACATTTTTGAAGAAAGCCGCAGTTTACCAGGATTGCTTTTAAATCTTACTCCGATATTGTTTTGATAACTGCAGTACGCTTACTTGTAATCGCAATAGCAGATATGGTAAATCATACTTAGACGTTCACATAACACAGTGAATTTAATGGTGAACCCAAATGAGGGGTGTGATTATGGTTATGAATGTGATTATAATGAAAAGTCACATAAGTACTTCCACTTTTTACATATATCTAGCGCAGAGAAGAAGTGCACAACCGTCAGGTGATTGATATTGGGTGTTTTCCTTCAATTTAGTTATTCCTGTCCCTCATTATCTTTTTTATAAGCCGAAATAGATGTCGTTCTCTAGCTTAAAGAAATACGATTATTAAATATTACAGCACAATAATTCAGCTAAACCAAGTACAATACAACCATTTATTAACCAAAATCGCCTATTGTCACATTATTAATCAGTTCAGAAAGATATCTGTTCTTATTTATTATTTCGTTTCGTTGTTGATAATATCTCATAATCTAACGTTAGTAATTTAAAAATTCAACTAGAATATGCGCAAACAATAAAATCATGGTAAAAACATAGCCAATGTTTCAGGACGATTTCTCAAACCGCGGTATATCCATATGAAACCTAGTTCTCAGTGGTTTAATCTACATTTAATATATACTATTGCTCTAACGCATTTCTTTTTTCATAAGAATGAAATGGAAACACATATGGAATGGTCAAGTAGATGTGGTACCATGCTCCACACATGATATGGTAACGAGGTTTTTTCCAAGTCATTATGCATTACGAAAATGGCACATGCCGGATACATGACCTACTTTGTAGTCTGCACAGTGCTCTTGACAGCGCACTTCGTCTACACTTTGTGAAAAGCTCAGATGAGGCTAGTTATTGCAGATTAGCTTCACTGAGTCCAGTTTTCCTGAGGATACGCGGGTTATCATGGTGAATTTGATAGTGCTCCTAAATTGATTCTCAAGCATTATTAAAGTGACACAAATTGTTCGAATCTTGAGGAGCATCTATATTCTATTGGTACAAGAAAAAACTGCGGCAATCGCTGGTGTTTCGAAACGGTGTGCAACCACAATATCAAAATATTGTGATTTTCAACAATGATTTCAAGGCACAAAAGTCAGCCCATTTATTCGGCTTTGCAAATCTCCTACTCTTGGGATCTCAGGGAGTTTTCAAACCCAAAATGAATGGTCTCCCATTTACGGTTCTTTGTTATTAGTGAAAACAACAGTTTCATCGACCACTTTTTACGACAGTTTTTTTTAGAATTTTCCTTCATGCGTGATCAGACATTCTTTTTTCTTTTTCTTCTTTATATTTCTAACACGTAGTATATATTCTAGCAAGTGATATACATATTATTGCTTCTTCGTTACAATCTTGAAAACTTACAAATCAATGATATAGATTTTGTATGAACCGTCATGGACAGATGCAAAAGAAGCAATTGTAACCTTACATTTGATTAATCAGTATGAGTTAAAAACTGCGCAAGAGCATCTTTGTAATTGTAGAAATAATGTGAAATTTAATAACTTAACTAAATGAGTTGGGGAACAACAAATGACTATGGATATTGATGATCAAGACATTTCATTTGTTGTTGCCTTTAAAGCAGAAAAAAAGGAAACTCGAATGTGGAACTTCTGTCTTTTCCTAAAGATATAAAAAAAGTTTTTTTGATACTTGTTTTAGTTGAACAAATCATGAGTCACGGCTCAATTACTCCGATAATGTTTTTCTTCAGAATTTGCAAAACTAATAACTTGCGATGGATATTAATAAAATTAACAAATAAAGTTTCATTTGTCTCATGTAAAACGAATTAATCAACTATGCAATTTCAGATTTTAGATTTTCATGGAATCAATTAACAAAATAATAAATAAGAGGATTTTTCACAAAATTTATTTTAAGATCAGCATCACAAATACAAAAACTAAAGCTTGAGTTTCATCACAATGTTTTTTTTGTTATTTTCTAAAGAAGTACAAAACAAATGACAAATTTTTTAATGGATGAAGAAAAATAACCTATAGCACACATTTTTTAAATAAAATTCTCAAAACTATTCAAGCAACTTTTCAGATTCAGTTTCCATGTCCTCAAAATCGCCACCCTTTGGACGATTAATCGCGATTCTCAAGAAAATCGCCAATTTCAGCGATTTTATCGTGATTTACCAACCCGATTAATCGTGAGATTAAATCGCGATAAAATCGTCGATTTTCATTTAAATCGTCACATCGCTAATATTATGGGAAATCGCATGACATCATTCATCTTTTCGTCTCACTATATCAGCAGCTCTATTTCTCTTCGTGGTGAATCTCTTTGGTTGTCTTATTCTCTCTTTTTCTAAAGATTATATTTGTTACCGTTCAATTTGGTTTTTACTTTGGAACAAGAAACATGAAGAAAACGGAGTCGAGAAGGCCCTTGCAATATCAGTCTAATGTCATCTACCTATTTCATGAAAGTCCTGTTGTTTTTTATGAATGTTGATTTTGTTGCAAAAAGTGCAAAAAAATCGTCAGTTTTGAAGATATATCGCGATATAATCTCAAGATTAATCGGGCGATTATTCGCGATAAAATCGTCGATTTTGACGACATGGGTTGGATCAACCAAATTTTGAACTAATTTTGTTTTGGAAAACAAGAAAGAAACCCACAAAGTTTTTATGGCTTAATGAAGAAAGCGACACATTTATGACATTAATAGCTGTTTCTTGATTTTATAGATGCATTCTTATCGACAAGCATTGATTTCGCAACATCTGCAATACGTTCAAGATGCATTTTATGCATATCGTGAATAGCTTACTCATCTGACAAAAACCGGTAGGGTATCGTAGTTTTCGGTTACCGGCCCCATTTACAGCGGTAAAACTTGAAGAAATTGTGACTCTTTCAAAAAACGTCTGAGTTTTCACTTTCTTTTCACAGTTTGACATGTATTCTTTATTGTCATCAGGCTGAGTCTACCTGAATATGAACACAGCGTCAGTAGTATCAAACTTGAAAGTTGAATTCAACTGAACAAAAATTATTCAAGCTTCAACTATCAACTTTCAATTGTCTATGTTTTCGCAGCATCTGCATCGAGAGAGTGGTTGTGTTTATTTGATAATTGAAACTTAAAAATCAACTTTTCAAGTTCGATGTATGTGGAAGGAAAATGATCTTACGTGCCTGTATCAAAGTCATCATGCCGAGTGACGAATGAAAATAATCAATAAGAGTAACAGTCAATACTACTATGTAAAATCGATGATGTTTCCACTTTCATTTATATTCTGTAGCATGAAATACTGTTGATTGAAAACAGCAATGGCTATTATTATCACTATCGAATTTAATAAATGATCGACTTTGTTACTCATTCAAAATCACGTGTGAAATACTGATAGAGCTATACTTATGTCTTACTCTTTGAATGACCAACAGAACGAAAAATTGGAAGAAGCGATGCATACAACACTGTGCTCATGAAGAAATGACTACGTCATAATGATGTTATCTGTTGTAACATAGCCATCGTAAAAAGAATTTGTCTTGTAAAAGTGTATCACCAAGTCAAGCTATTAAGAAGATCTCGTATGGAGGCAGTAAAAAGATTTATGATAAAACCCTGCAACTCAGATTTCTTTATGCAAACAAAAACACTTGACATTCAGTTTCTTTGAATTATTTCTCTATTGTAATTAATGATAAAAGTCTTACTTTTTTGAAGAGCATTGGTAACAGCTGAAACAACAGCTACTCCATTGATTATTGACGCTGCACGTTCTTTAAAAAGGAATAAATGTATAATCTTTTAATTTTTTACATGTTCAACTACATTTCATTTAAACCGTTCAAAGTTTTCTTTAATTCGTTCTTCAATTATACACATGATTAAGTTTCTCATATATAATACTCGATCCTAAATTCAAAACTAATTAAAAGAGGGAAGCAACAACCCCATTTGAAAACGTACGATCGGAAGCGTTCGTATACGATTATATATGATTGTAATGTAGTCATGGATGAAGGTGCCCATCATGATCACAGCTTGAATTTTTCAAATGGAATATCGAGTCCAATGGTAAATGTCAATCAGAAAAATAAGACATTTATTTTATTATTTAGATTTATATCAACAAGAGATTTGTTGTTAAATATTAGTTTTAAAATAGAATTTTATTTCTTTTTTTTAAGATTTAGTCGGACAATAAATCCAATGGCAAGTGTTAATTTATAACATTAAATTATATTTTTATTATTTAGATTTATTTTCTCAGCCAGAATGAACTTCTGAGAATGTGATGATAAACAAGTCATATACGGCAATCGTAATGTTCGTTTTCAAAGCTTATCAATCATTCTTGATTTTTATTTTATGTATCTAGATAGATATTTTGAGACTGTTGATATTCGATGTTATCACTAGACGGTAAGACAAGATATAGAAAGATGACTAACCGAATAGGACTTGAATTCGGCTTAATCAAAGTTTTTATTGTTACAATCAGAACTGCTGTAAACATGTAAATGAAGGGATAATTGAAAGTCTAATGAGAAGACACTATTTCAGATATTTATATATTTTTAAGGACTACTGTTGTATATGACTTGTGAAAAAAAAAAAGAATTACTTTTTTTCTTTGTTCTTCATCAAATAGCGTCATCTATATTCATTAAATTTTTGTTAGAGACGTCAGAAATCGAATCGTACATGAAATATTTTTAATTGGATACTTTGCACCAGAAATTTTTTTTTTCCGAATTTCTATTTCATTACCAGCTAGCTAGATATATTTTAGCATGAATAAATCATCCGAAGCATCTACAAAGAAAGTCGCTTGTTTTGAACCACGAGAACAAGTGATGGATACGCAAAAAAAAGTATTTATATTATAAAAGTCTTGTCTAAAGAAGAAAATTTTGATTTTATATAGAATGGTACAGATGATCTTGATAAATTGGCTCCAGAAGATATGACATCAAAGGAATATTATCTTGATTCAACAGCTCATTTTGCTGTTCATGAAGTTAGTTTAAAAGAAGTTTTTAATATTTTTCTAATTTATTGTATTTTTAGGAGTTATTGAAAGATGAAATTCGTACAAAAACATTTCGCAATGCAATTATTAATAATCGGCATTTATTTAAAGATAAAATAGTATTGGATATTGGTTGTGGTGTTGGAATATTTAGTTTGTTTGCTGCTAAAGCCGGCGCAAAGATGGTTATTGCTGTAAGAATTTTTCTTTTAAATTGAAATACATATTTACATTATTTAAATAGGTGGAAAAATCGAATGTAATTGAATATGCAAAAAAAATTATCCGTGCAAATCGATATGATAAAGGTAAATCAATATTTAACTAAATTTTCATATTAAAAAACAATTAAATTTTTGTTTTAGTTATCAAAGTTATTAAAGGTAAAATAGAAGATATTGAATTACCTGAAGGAGTTCAACAAGTTGATGTTATTATTGCTGAATGGATGGGTTATTCATTATATTATGATTCAATTATTCAAAGTGTCATTTATGCAAGAAATAAATATCTAGTATGTTTATTTGAACATTATATTTTTAAACAGATATTGAAAAATTCAGAAATAAGAAAATTTTTATACATTGTCAAATTTGATGTACAAGATTCTTCTATTGTTTATGCTAGACATACGTTTATGATAATACAATGGCCAGACGAGAAACTTAAGTGTAAACGCTTCTTATGTTTTAAGACGTTTGTAGACTGAGAAAAGTTTTTGGTAATTATAATAACGATCATATTTCGAAGATTCATAAAGCTGAGTATTCGGATTGCATATCACTGTGACAATATAAGGAGTAATCGGGTCATATATACAGATATATAAAGCAAAACTTGCCTATATCTCCTAAAGAATCATCGTATTTCATAAAAGACACCTACCAAATAGAGCTTGTCGTGTTAGTATAACTCAAAAAATGTCCTATTAAATGAGTTCGTTCACGAAAAATAACAGTCAACTATGAATTAATTATTATAAGATTATCGCTAAGATTACCTGAGAAATGTATAGGTCGTGTTAGCTGCACAATAGAAATAATCGATAGAAACTATCTTGTATCTTTCGATCGGATAGAAAATTCAGACTAACAAAATTTCGTTACACTTAGGAAGAAGTACGAATCGGGTCCAAAAAAATGTTAAACCTGATATACTGTACTGACAAAGCGCTTTTTTAATAAGATGACTCGGGATGACTTTTTAACTGTCCCGCAGATCTCTGATCTCTTCATCGTTATTCTATCTCAACTTTTTATTCTATGTTGAAAACAGCACCGTAATATCTATAGTAAAAATTCAGAACCTGCAAACTTTGATGAAAAATGTTACGGTACAAAAAGCACTTCTTGAAATTGCCAGAATCTAAATATATATTTCGAATTTCATGATGATTTGTAATAATCTTATTGTTAGTTATACTTTGGAATATTTCTTTAGAAACCTGGTGGTGTTATTTTTCCGGATCGTGTAACAATGTATATGGTTGGTATTGAAGATCGTGATTATAAAGAAGATAAAGTAGAATGTAAGTTTATTTTTCTTTTGTTAAATCTTATTCATTATAGTATTCATTTAAGGGTGGTCAAATGTTTATGGTTATAACATGAGTTGTTTAAAGAATTATGTCATGCGCGAACCATTAGTTGATACAGTTGATAAACGTCAAATTTGTACGGATCATTTTCCTCTTAAAGTATAATAAACAAAAAGAAAATGTTTTTTTTTTTTCGTTACAAAACTAAATTTCTTCTTTTAATTAGACAATTGATCTGAAAACAATGACTGTTGATGATATAAATATCGATTCAAAATTTCGACTTTGTGCTTTACGTGATGATTATATACATGCATTTGTTACTTATTTTGTCGCAGAATTTACTGCATGTTCACAAAGGACAGTAATTAATACCGGTAAGATAATTGAAAGAAAAATTTAATAGAACCTCGCTAAATTTGGTAACCTATCTTGAAACAATATAACATATGTGTGGTTTTTTCAGAGCAATTTTCGACCTATCGAACGGTATATAAGAAATCAAGTTCTTTTCAAATTTTAATATGCTGAGGGTTCATATACTGAATTTGTTTTTTAAATTCCATTCGATAGAGTTATAGGCGTTCTTCAATTTTCTATAATCAATAGTTCTCATTGTTGCTTTCTCCATATTTAAAAATGCTCTTTTTTCTTAGATCAAACGGGTACGGGAATATGAAAAAATTAAGTTTTAAAATCAAAATGGGATATTTAATAGATTCTTCTAAATTTTCATTCATAAACTAAACCTGAATACTTGCAATAAAAATAAAAATTAACATTCTTGTACCCCGCCTCTAGAGGTCTGAAAGTAAAAAAGTGTACTCTTTGTTTATAAAGGAATTATTTATATCAGTTCATCGGAGATAATGTTTTGTTTATAGGAACGTTGAATATTGCTAAAATATCGTCTATATATCAGCCCCTTCATACAGGACAATAGACCATTCCAGTGACAATCTTGCAAGTTGAAAATGAATCCCTACTACTCTGAAAGACGCAACCTGTGAAATATATAGGCCTTGAGAGTGTGTAATTCTTGTAATAGTTTCATGTTGGTACTCGTTCTGTGTCACAGAGTTGAGCACACTGAAATATCATATAGCCAAGCAATAGCCTAGACCTAAGAAAAGTGATCATTTTGAAGTGTGAAGAAAGCAACGAGAAAAACTATAGATTATAGGAGATTGAGGAGCCCTGTAATTGTATCGAATTGAGTTTAAAAAAAACTTTGCATTAGTTTATGTTAGAACATCATAGGGATTGTAATGTCTCTAAATGCCTTATATATTTCTCAAGGACTATAATCAGTATATGGACCTTCAGCACATCAAAATTTGAGAAAAATTTGATTTCTTATATACTATTTGATGCGTCAGAAATCGCTCTAGAAAATCACATATATGGTATCCTGGTTCTAGATCTATCACCAAATCCGACGATGTCCGTTTGATAAATGATTATTATTATTACTTTCTTTTAGCACCCGGCGCTGGTTATACGCATTGGAAACAAACAGTATTCTATTTTCCTGATTACACAACAATAAAACGTGATGAAGTTTTAGAAGGCACATTTAATTGCAAAGTTAATCTGGAAAATACGGTATGTTTATTCATACAAATAGTTTCAATTTTAATTTAATTTTTATAGAAAAAACTTGAATTTGGTATTGATTTTGAATTTAATGGTCAACTATCATCTTTACAAAGTAAAAATCAATATTTCATGAAAGGTTAAAATTATTTATTGTATGAACAAACTATCAACATTTGTTTTTCCTATTGTTTGTTTTGTTTTTGTTTTTTACTTTGAAACAAGTAAAAAAAAAAAAAAAAAAGGATATTATAAACTTTATTGTTTTTTCGTCGTAAAATTTTATCATTAAAATCTATAAAATGATTTCATGATAATCCATAACTATAAAAGTCTCGCTTGATTCAATCTAAAAGAATAAAAGCAGCATATCGTAAATCATAAGTGAATTTTTGAATTTGAGTTCTTTTTGGAATAAATTGGATAAAATGATTTGTATTAACTATCATAATAATAATTTTATTATGAATAATATTGTGAAGAAACAATTATGAACTCGATATTCTTACTTAACAAATATATTTTTATCAAATATATATATTCCTTTTTGCTAATTGCTGATCTATTTCATTCGCATTTAAAGATTTTTTAGTTTTTAATTACGAATAAATTAAGTGTTGAAAATAATCATCAAACTATTTAAAACCAAAAACATTTTTCATATATTGGCTATGCTGGTAATATTAAACAAGATTCTTTTTAGCTGCAATATACTCATCAGTAAGCATGTTAGTTGAAAGCGCTTTTGATTATATGTCAATATACCTGTTATCATCGTCAAACAAGATTATTGCAATCGTTTAATTACATGTCGAAAAAAAAGCTGATAGTGAAATTCTAATATAAGATACAATTTAAGCTATTTTTGTTATGTATGACAAAGTTGCCTGTTCATATCTTAGCAAGATGTTAATTAGAACATGTCTCAAGGTCAGAATGCCGATATTATTCCGACTCCTGTTGAACTAAATAAGTTTTCAGTTAATCTTCTAATTAAATCTCTGCAGAACTTAAATTTATATTTTCTAACCATATTAGAAATGGTCGACGTCAAGTTCTTTCAGCCTCGATCTTGAGAAAACTTCACGAATGGTAGAATATTATCACTCGACTTATTCGAGTTAGTAGATAACTAATTTTGTCGTCTTGCCAGTTGAATTTTAATTTATACGACGCAAAAGAATACGATCAAAATGAATCGTAATCTAACAGTGCTTTTTGACTTATAGTTTTTGACTCGTCTGAGATGCTTTCAAGTCGGTCAAAAATGCCCATCGAAAACTTCGACCCACAAGTTCCATCCGAACTAATTTTTTTCAGTTTTGCAAAGATATATTTCACTACTCTCGAACAAAAAACTAAGATACAACTTCCAAACGTGCAAAATTCTTGTCCGAACTCATAGCTTTTGACTTGTCGAACATACTTTCTAGCGAATCATTTAAAAAGTTCTCTACTGTTTGATATATTGGTTTTCTAATCAATTCTTTCATTGCTTGCTACAGTAGTGGTTTTATACTGTTGTTGAAAAAAAGAAAAGAAAAAGTGTCTTGCTTCCAATGCCGACAACCGATGTACACGAACGAAAAGATGTCTGAGTTACTAAATCACATGCTTCGAAAGAGTAACATTCAATCTACAAAATAGTATATATATATATATATTTCTTTATTTCGTTGCTTAGACAAACGTCCCCTTCATATAGGTCTCGTTTCAAAATACCATTTTTCCTACCTGCAAACTCTTTAACTTACGAATGATGCTAAATCGAAACATGAAATTTAATACAAGTGTGCACAACTATGAGAAAAATAGATTTAATACAAAACATATTTTAGAATCATTCAATATGTGCTATAGCATTGATATTCTAAAATACTAATTGTAGTTATAATAAATCTAGATACTATTTGACACTTTTCTTTCATTCAAATAATGATCAATATTCAACTAACAAATATGATAATAAATCACTCGAATGGCTTAAAAATGTATATCTTGTTTATTCATTACTCAATTGTTTGTAAAAGCCGAAGAGAATTGCAGTCTTAATCTCGTGAACTATGATCAAAACGAAAACAAGAGAGAAAAATGAGAAGAGAACAAAGAGTTAGTGATCGAGTGAAGAAATTACTAAATAAATATAATCACATAAAGCCGAGAGACAATAGAACGACCCGATCGATGACCACACTTGATCGAGAAATAGACGAAAATAAAGCTCCACTCGTATCTTTCTTTCTTTCGCCTACTTTTACGTCACGTTTCTCCGTCATCGATCCGTATGTGTATGCAATTGTTGATCGTTCATGTTTCATCATTGTTATAATCGACGAAGAAGCCACTTTGTAGGGTCTCATACACTTCCAGAATAGTGATACAAAGAATAGCCATGAAACTTTCACGTTCTCTTCTATTTATATTCTTATTTAAAAGTAATAATAATAATATTATTTCAAATAAATAGATACTTACTTATTTTATTTCTTTAGTATCTATTGTTTTTGCTGCTGAAGAAAAATTCAAAATTGTATGTTACTTTGCAAATTGGGGTAAAAAATAAAGATTTTGTTTTTTTTTTGAAAATAATATATATGTTTTATTCTATAGCTGTAAAACGTCCCGGTGGAGGTTCAATGACTCCTGAAGATATTGATCCTTGTCTATGTACACATGTTATATATGCTTTTTCTGAAATGGATAATAATCAATTAACACCAATGGAAAAACATGATTTAAAAGATGGTAATCAACCAGGTAAGTATTAATATGAATAATAAATTGTAAACTTTTAATTTTTTTTTTCTTTCAAAGGCTTTTTTGAACGATTTAATGCTTGGAAAAGTGTTAATAAAAATTTAAAAACTTTACTTGCTGTTGGTGGTTGGGTAAGATATTTTTTTAATAGAAAATATTTATTAGAATTGTTTTATCATTTCTTAAAGGATATGGGAATGAAAGATTTTGCAGGTAAAATAACAAAAATTAATCTCTTCTTTTTTTATTTCTCATATTATAACATTTTATCTCAAGTGTATTGTTAATGAATATTCTTTACATTATAGTTCATCATGATTTATTGAAAAGTGTAGAATTTTTATCATAGTTAGGCTTTAATTTTCTTTTTTTTCTGATAAAATAAACTAGAGATGAATTGATACTTACGGCAAAACTACCGAATATGTGATCTACCTTTTGAACTCATATTGAATTTATAAGGAGATCTTATCAAGACTAGGAAAACCTTGGAAGGGACCATGTCTAGGAGCTTCTGCAACCAAATTATGATCGCTTTACTGAGTTTTCAACCTATCTATAGGTGCTGACTGGAAAATCAAATTGTAAAATTTGGTCCTTACTTGGAAATTCAATATTTCGACAAAGGAATACTCTTTTCATCCAGTATATGTTTATAAAGGATCACTCTAGGATCTGATCAAATTTTATTGATGAATAATTAGTTTATAACTGCCTTTTCACATTTCAATAAAAAACAAGACTATAGGATACATTTGTGAATGAATGATTCAATTTTATCACAGAAAATTAGAGGATAGAACCATTAAAACATGTATTATATTAATAGGTATTGTTAAATCGGAAAAGACAATGAAAAAATTTGCTGAAGCAGCAGTAAAATATTTACGTAAACATAAATTTGATGGTCTTGATCTTGGTAAGTAAATTTAAAAAAAAAAGGAAAACTAAATGATAAATTTTATTTATTTGTAGATTTTGAGTATCCGGGTAAGAAATAATTTCTAATAAAAACATTGAATGAAATCATCGAAATAATAGGTGTTGATTGGAGAGATAGCCCAAAAGAAGATAAACAAAGATTTACAAAAATGTGTGAAGTTAGTAAAAGAAATTTATTTTATAAGTTGATTAGTTTGTTTGTTTTTCTTTTCAATTAGATTTTATATGCAACATTTGAAAAAGAAGCAGAAACTTCTGGCAATGAACGTCTTCTTCTAACTACCGCTGTAGCAGCAGCTAAAGTGAATATTGATAAAGCATATGAAGTCGATAAACTTGTTCCGTAAGTTTAATTATCTTCATTAAGAGAAGTTTCGTTAGCTTCTCAAGCATTTGTCAACAAGGTCATTGTTTTCTCGAAATTAAGATATACTTTTCCGTTTACATCAATCGATTTATAACATTAAACTGAATTTATTAGAGAATGTTTAGACTCTTACAATTTGATTTTAAGAAATTATTAGTGTTACAATATGAGAAATCAACCTCTACTGTTTTGCTCATGTCTTATTTAAAAGAGCACAAAAAACTGAACAAAACTGTCTCGAATAGTTTTCGGAAAAGCTGCACTTTCATTAGACAAACGTCTTTCGATTGTAGGTAGAGTGGTTTTCAATATGATTACTAATTGAAACGCAAATTTAATATAGTGCGTGCTATAGAGAGTTTTCGCTTTGTAAAAGCATTATAAAGATTTTGGAAAAAAACTTTCAGAAAAGATGGGGACGCATTATTCTCGATGCATAAGTTTGTTCGTTTTTGGTCAGTATTTAGCAGATTTCGGTCAGAAAACTTAGAATTTGATCAAAATTAATATGAAATTCTGAATCATCACTACAAATAAAATCGATTGATGTGTATTTCAAATGTCTTTCAGACATTTTTTTCATCGAAAAATTCACTCCCAGGTCCTTCTTAGGATTTAGTCAAAAAATGAAATTCAACACAACGCATTTTTTATTGCCTAATCATCTTTCATTTTGTGTCCCATTCTCACTTAAAAACCTTAGAACTTATTTTCTGTCGTCAAAATAAGTTTTTGATAAATTTCAGTTTTTGACATAACGCTAGAAGCGATCAGCAATGAATTTTTCGATGAAATAAACATGTTTCAAAGACATGTAAAATGCACATCAGTCGATTCTATTTCTAGTGTTGATTCAGAAGACAATATTAATTTTGATCAAATCATCATTTTTCTAACCAAAACTTGCTAAATACCAGTCAAAAATACACCGAGAACAATGCGTTTCCTCCTTGTTTTAAAAATCTTTATAACGGTTTTGCAGAGTAAGAAATCCTCTATAACACGCACTATATTAAAGTTGCACTCCGATTAGTAATCATATTGAAAATTGCCTTACAATCAGAAGAAGTGTGTCTAATAAAAGTGTAGGTTGTTCGAATGCTATTCAATTTTTGTTTTGTTCAGTTGTATGTACTCTTTCAAATGAGACATGAGCGAAACAGTGGGAGATGGCATTTTTCTTGTTCTTTTTTTCTCAAAGTTCCTCATTCTTCAATGCTTATAACTCCAAACAGTATATTTTAATTGTAACCATAAAATTGACTTTCTCTGATAACTTCGTCTAGCTTCTCTTATAACAACAATTTCTATTTTTAGAGTAATGGATTGGTATGTAAAAATGAAATCAAATTGTTAATCTTCTTCTGTTTTACTCTAAATCTAAAGGTTTAATTTGATGACTTATGATTTTCATGGATCATGGGATCAAAATCGTGCACATCATTCATCACTTAATAGTAAAGATGATGAAAAAGATGATACAATGTATATTGTATGTATCCATATATATTCTATTTCTTATCTTTTCTAAATTGTCTTTTGTTTTTAAAAATAGGATTTTGCTGTAAAATATTTTCAAAAATTGGGTATGCCATCCAATAAAATGATGTTAGGTATAGGAACATATGGACGTGGTGATACACCAGCAATGCCTTATACAGGATTTAAAGGTGAAAGTGGTTTTGTTGCATATTATGAAGTAAGAATCGAACTTATATTTAATTATGTTTTTTGTTTCAATTGCATAAATTTCTAGAGTTGTGTTCAAATTGTTTGTGAAAAAATGAAAGAAACATGGGATGCAAAACAACTGGTTCCATATATAGCTGGACCGTATAATCAACCAAAAGCTGGTGTAGAAAATGTTCGAAGTATGAAATATAAAGTAAGAAAAACTTTAACAAAAAATTAGATAAGAAAAACAATTGTGTCGTTTTTTTTTCTCTAAAAGGCAAATTATATTAAAAAAAATAATTTGGGTGGTGCTATGATTTGGACACTTGATATGGATGATTTTCGTGGACAATTTTGTTGTCAAGGAAAATTTCCTTTAATAAAAACAATTAAAGCTGTTTTACATGGACAACTTAAATTGTTACCAAAAGAAAAAATTTGTTCAACTTGTCCAACAAAAGAATATAAAAGTGAGAAATATATTTCTATGAATAAAAATATCATGTTTATTTTATTAGATTTTAAACCCGAAACTCAACCACAAACAACTGAAAAAACAACAAAAAAACCAAAAAAATCTAAACGTGATGCAGATACACCATGTAAAATGAACTTATAAAATACAGAGAATAAATTTCCAATTGATATTTTTATTTTTCTAGCACCTCAAGATGTATGTGAAGAATTAAAAGATGGTCAATGGCCTGATCCGTCAGATTGCAAGAGTTATTATTTATGTCGTGGTGTAGGCAGTCAGTGGGGTGAACAAAAACGTGAAGTGTGCTATACTGGTAAGAAGCAGAAATCTCCAATAATTAGTTGAAGCATTAGGAAGACCTTCCCTCCCCTCCTCTTTTCGAAGTTTCTCGAGAACAGCTTGACGGGAAAATTATTGGAACGTAGACTGATCTCGATAAATACAGTAAAAGTTGTCATAGACTCCAAATTCACAGATGCTTCTTTCAGTGAGATTTAGGAAATGTAAAGACTACCAACGGACAAAAGTGGTCTTCCACAGCATGAAGAAAAAAGATATATACGCACTCCAATTTGACCAAAGTACTCCAAAAAAAAGTTGAACCCGATCAGACGTACTGTGTGAGAGAAAAGAGGAGAAAACTTCGGTTGTTTTGTTCAAAAATTCATTTCAAGAAAACGCAAAACAAACTTTCCTGTATGTATCAGGACTTTTTTCTTCAGCTTCAGTGATTCAAAACTCACCTTGCTCAGCGGTGTTACAGTTCTATGAGCACCCTTACTCTCTACATCTTTGGAATGAGAACTAATCATTATCATTAGGAGAATTTTGCATACAAAGAATAATCGTAGTGCGAATTTTTTATCTAGAAACTTCAAGTGTTGAGTTTAATAAAAGTGTATTAGCTAACAATGAGGAGTCCTCATTTATATGGCATTTGAGAGAGGACACTTCACAGATAAACTGAAAATCTGGAAAATGTTGATTTTAACATCGAGAAAGGAATCCTCTGAAGATTGACATATATTTCTCCAATAGTACAAAAATATGAATCGATAATATTTGCCCAATTGAAGACATCATAATTTTTCTCCTTTACAATATTCGATGCATTCTACAGCTTAATCTCAATAACTGATAATAAGAGTCTTTCATTATGATTGGGCAGAACGTATTAAATCGTGTGTCTTTTCGATGAGCAGAAGAGATGTATAATTCAATCTTCTATCAGGTTATTACCATTCCTACCTTCTGTCATCGTTCCATACTACTCTTCATCTCACTGTATCATAACATCAGAGTTGAACAAAAAAATAAATTTGTCATTTAATTCTAAGAATAGAGATCCACGTGATCAATTTACAGATCTCTGCAGATGAGTCAAAAAAATCTGATAATGAACATGAAGAAGATGAATATAAAAGTGAAAAAAGAAAACTAGTAACCTTCACAATAATAGTAAAATCGTGATTTATACTACAATCGCTTCCAGCGTCCTCCGTTTAAATTCGCCACTGCTTGATACGTTATTTTTATTTATTTTTATTTATTTGATTAAACACTATTGATCACGGTCATGATCATTCGTGACCGTGACAAATAGGCAGGCCTCTAATTAAGGAATTAATATTTTTTTTACACTAGTGAAGAAAATACCCTATTTTGCCACTCTTTCTGCATGAATGGATTGAGTTCAATCATTGTCGTCGCTTTTGAATACTTATTACTTTTAAATTTAATTAGAATCTTTAATATTTTGATTTCGAAATTAACGAAGAAACCTTTCCAAGGACATCTAGATCTTCCTTTAACTGAAATTTTAGCCCATAGCACAGAATGTACCAAAGAATTGAATAATGGTATTTTGACCTAGAATTTTGCTTATAGATAGACCTACTTATAACTAAAATGTTCTCTTCATAAAAAGAATCCTCATTTTTCAGGAAAGATCCGATAATCTCATGTTTTTCCATGATACAATATCTCATGAAGAGAACATTCCTTTGAGATGAAATTTTCAGAATATTCTAGTTACAAGTAGGTCAATCTCTAAGCAATGCATCTGATCGAAATATCATCAGTCAATTCTTTTGTATGTAACATGCTATAGGCTAAAATTTCCGTAAAGCATTTATGACTCGGTAGGGAAGGTCTTGGTGTCAATATTCTTTTGAGGCTTTTAATATCTTATTGGAGTCTACTTTATGTGCGAAGTCCGACTTCAAAAGCGATTTTAAAGTTGATAAGATTTCTTGGTAAGTTAAATTCGAGATATCAGTAAATTCCGATTAATTAATAAATACTATAGAAATATAAATTTTCGAACGTAGTCAAGTTCTATCGCGTAATCTTCTACATACAAAACGAAATGTTGAATAAGCACTATTATATATTTGCTTTTTTAGGCGCTTATTTTGACCCAAATGAGAAAACATGTAAATGGGTTGGCATGGATAAGGTTTGTTTATCAATTTGATTATTTTTTTCTATGTACCAATATTTTTTCATTAGCTTAATTGTGAAGAACTTGTCGAAGGTTATGAAAATCCCGTAGCTGGTGTTACTCGATCAGCCGATGAAGCAGAAGATGATGATGATGGTGGAGATGATGATGATACTTCAACGGATGCAGGTGCATCATCAAAAAAGAAAAAAACTAAAGCACCATCGAGTAAATCGATATCAATATTAAGTCGAACAACGTCTGAATTTGATACATGTACAGCAGAAAAACCAGTTGAATTCGATCCTGTACAAGGTAATAAATATATTCCTTTTTTCTTTTCGACATGACTCGCTTCATCTACTATAGCATTCTATAGGTATGCTATGTTACTCTTGCGAAAGTCAGAAAGAGAACAGCGATTGCCAAATCAGTCCGAATCAGACGACGTCGATTATTTGCGAAACGAAACAACAAATTTGTTACAGCAAAAAAGCCATAAACGTCGCCGGTAAAAGTCAAAGAATATTCTTTATGTCTCTTATATTAAACATACGATTGTATATAGGAAAACTACTACAATTCAGTCGTGGTTGTTCAATGCCTCCACCATCGACGGGCAATCTCACACAACAAACACAATGCCTGTCAAGCAAAGCAGAAGGCAAGACAATATGCGTGAAATATTGCCAAACCAACCTTTGCAATTACCTGGACATAAGGTTATTTTTATTTTTCTTCAAAAAATCATTAAATAAATATTTGTATATTTCTCTTTTAGCGATGGCGCTTTGGCCGTTACAGTCAGACGAATAACACACGTCGTCTATTACCTATTAGCTCTATTAATAATTGTCATATCAACAAATCATCATTATTAATTATGACAATTTGCATAACTGTTATAGTCGGAGAACTAAACTTTTTTGTTTATCACTAATCGTTGCTCTGTTTATTTGTTTCTTCCTTTTTTTTTGTTTCTGTACCTGTTTGATCTTTTATTTCCTTGCATCAATCAAAGAGCAATACTCAACAGATTTTCACCTGTTATCTTGTGAGAGGATTTTATTTTTTTTCTTTATCACGAAGAACAAAATACTTGTATGGATCGTGTCATACTTCAAGAATCCCGACATGAAGAATATGATGACGTAAAAAATCAAATTCATATCTATAGAATACATTAATCTTGAACAAATAGAAACTGATATCAGTAGTATCAAAGATAAAACTTCAATGTATGCCATAAGTTTAACATTAGAGATCTCTAGATTAAGTGTTGTCGAACCTCAATAAGAAAAATTTTCTGACCTTTACCCTACCCTATTCTCTAGAACAAACATCCTTACATTATCCTAAGATGTTTTGATCGCACTTTCCCTTAATATTACCCTAGCTGGAAGAATCTGAAAGTTATAAATATTAAAATAGTATCATGATAGAGACATGCAGGGTAAGCTTTTTTCGTATCCTGTATTCCGACTGAGAAAAACTTTTTAGCTCTTACCCTGTCCTGCAGTGCAGCTCTATCCTACTCTACAGCATAACTATGCTTACCCTATTCTACAGAGTAAGATCGGATAACCCTACACATCTCTATTTACCATTCTATTATTGGTAAAAACTTATAGTATTACACTTCTTTTGAGTTTCAAAAACAAATGATGTAAGTTCATTATTCTAATATATTGCTGAAAAATATTTGAGAGAAAATCTTATCTCAGAAAGTTGCTTGCGTTTTTCAATACTCTGATGCAAAGATTGCTTGGAATTAAGATATGATTAGTTTTTAAATTCTTTATGATGTAAATAGAAAATTTGAGAATTTATTGTTATCATTTGATATTTGTCTTCAATATCAAAAGTAGGAATCATTTATGGAAAGATATTCAACAAAAAAAACATATGAATATTTAATCCTTTTTTTCTTTTTCTTCAATTATAGGTTTCATGGTCAACTTATGTATATAACAGTATTGAGCAAAAAATGGGTCCGTCAAATTGAAACCATATGAAAGTACAGAAAAAAGAAATTTTTTGTTCTCTTTACTAAAAATAGAGAAGTGGATAAAAGATTGTTAAAAGAGAGCTGGAGAAAAAAAAAACGAAATATGTTCTTATGTGCCCTTGTGCACTATCGGTTGATTACATGTTGTCCTTGTTGCTCCATCTCATCGACATCACCCATTATAAAAAAAAGGAATCATACGATATCGCATATGTTCTCTGACGAGAACTTTTTATGATACTTTTAGTCTAATTGAAATATTTTTTATCGTCTACTTTTTTTCACAAGCAAAAGAACTTTGATTTCAAATGTAGATAAAAAATATTTCATTGAAAAGAGTTTTATTTCTAATGGCGATATGGATACAACATCATTGATTATGTGAGTATAATTAAATAAAATAATATTTTTCTTTTACATTTTAAATGATTTTTTCTTTAACATTAGTATTATATGTGTACTTATTCCAGCTTTACTAGCTATCAGTATTTGTATGATTATATTCTATTCAAATTGTAATAGAGATCGAAAATTTCATCGTCAAAGAAGTATGAAATTATTTTTTATTCTTATTGAAATATTTTATGAATGTTAAAAAAAAACCTAAAGTAGCAATTAAGAAAAAAACCTTGAATTATTATTTTGATAGTCTCTTGCTCAGAATTTCTTAAAATATAATCATATCTATGATATGATTAGTTAGACTAAAATATTTCTGATGAATCATCTGATTATTGTTTTTACAATACCGAAAAGGTTTTATTTGAATTAAAGAAGACCATTTCCAAATATTTCTCTTGTTGTACATTTATACTCAGCATCCATCAGACAGTAATTCTTTTGGAAACGTATTAAAGTTAACATTGGCTTCATCAGAATTATTTTATGCTTTCGAAAGTATTAGAACTTGACATTCCGGCACTTAAAATTGTCTTCAAAAAGTAGGTTTCCCTAGTATCTAGTGTAAAAAAAAGTCAATTTCTTAGGTTTTCATATTTGAAATTATAGAAATCTAGAGTTTCTTGGTATCGAAAAAGCTTCTAGAAAAATTGTTTTTTTTCTCGACATGTTTTCAGTATAATTTTCTTTCATGAATAAATAAATTTAATGAGATGTGTTAGAATTATATTTCGATACTCTTTCCATACGTCGTATTTTAAACCATAGAATAAGTAAAGACGGTCACTTAGTGTGAGGATTTTTCTACCTGAACTTCAGAACTGTATAATGAGAAAACTAAGGATTCTGTTAGTGTAAAAAACTCATATTTAGGATTCTCTTGACGTAGGCTATAACAAAAAGCTCTCAATTTTCATGGTCAATGACTTTGAAAGTCTTACAAAAAATTTATTAAGCAATCGCCTTTGACTTTCTATCGTTAGAAAGATGATTCTAATACATGTAATCAAATTTAGTTACTTATAGAAGAAAATTATTACTGCAATAATATTGAAAAAAAAAACAAGTTTTATAAAAACCTTCTCGATATAAAGAAAAAAATGACACTTGATAAAATGATTGCCTCACTGAGTAGTATCGATTCTGAAAGCTCCAGACTTCTATCATTTAGAATAGAAAAGTTCTAGAAATTGATTTTGCCAGGAAAAATTCTAATAGCTAATGGTGTGAAGCCATTAAAGCATCATTTGAGAACGTTTTTAAAGATGACTGTAAGAGTAAAAACGTCAAATTTTATTATTTCTGGAAGTTATGATGATACGCAGTTCAAAGAGTCACCCTAGAATATAACTTGTCTGTAAAAAGTCTTTGCACAGCACATCTAGATAATTTTTGTCCATTTAAAAGTCATCGAAGAGAATCAAAATTAATCAGCCTGAATCAAAATTTCATACCCTTTGAAATTATTGATTCAGATTTTTTTTCTGACCTGAAGTTATTTCATTGAGAGCAAACCTCTGGTGGTGGTTTAAAAGAAAGGAAGTCTGTATTGAATTTTTCAAGTAGTTCAGTTTTAAGTTTTGATCAAAACTGCCTCAATCTAAAATTATAAGAAAGTCTTATTATACACAAGTTTTCTAGAGTAAGACTTGCTTTTTGTGTACTCAAAAAGTGAGTACACTCTAGAATCGGTCAGTATGTCCGGCCGGCCGGCCGTTTACACGATAACTTTCGAAAGGAGAGTCCGATCACGATGAAATTTTCTACACAGTTCAGTCTTTACAATATCTCGGTCGAGTTCGAAGATGAGAAGGATCGGCCGAGCCGTTCCTGAGTTATTGCAAAAATACCGATTTTTCCCTATAGCTTCCTATNACTTAGCACGTCTGTATTTTCTCCTTGCAATTTAGTGATAAAAAGCACAGTGAATGTACCTTTTCACTTTTTGAAGTACACATAACACTCGGATTTAAATCCGAGGTTTTCGCATTTATTAAAGTATCCGATGGCTTCACTTTTTACATATTCCTACAAACAATCGGAATCTATTGTATTCTAGACACCAAATTCGAAAAAAAAAGAAAAATTTTTGTTTTCGAAAAATCCATTTTCACATAAAGAGAAACTGTTTGGAGAATATTTTTATGTTTAAATTATTTCAAGTCTTACTTCAAAAATGTTTTTTTTGTTCGATAATCTTGTAAGAATATTTTGTAAACATTATGTTGTTCCTTTGCAGACTTATCCTTTGTTTGTCATCATTCACATGAACGAGTTCCTCAAGATAATTATATAATTGATTACCCACGTACTTCTCATCGCTATCAACAACAATATCGTTTACATGAATCTCTGCCTGCATTTGAAGAATCGTCACCATCATATGACATTTCTGTTAATCAAATACGAAGACAAAAATTACCAATATTTACATCTATTCGTACAACACCAATAACAACGAATGTTCAACAATCGTCACCTACTATGACGTCATCTATACATTCAACAATGCCACCTTCTTATGCTGAAATTTTTTTAACACCTTATACATTAACAAATCGATGATTAACTTTTAATTTTTAATTATTTTTAAGAACATATCCATTTACTTTTTACTTTTTTTATTTATATATTTTTTTTTCATACTCTAATTCATGACCATTTACATAATGTAGTTTTTGAAAAATATAAAAAGTATGAAATGACAAATGAATTATTCTATTATTATTATCATTAATAAAATTTGGCATTAGACAATAACTCCTTTCTTTGATTTTAGTACTTCTCGTTTGTTTTACAGTTCAGTGAATGATTGTTTCGAATGGTATTATAGTGTTCTGATACTATTCAACAAATGACTTAATACTAGAGATAAAATTAGATGTCTTCAACACACGGAATAATCACTGCTTAGGAAGATGATTGTTCTACTTCTAAAGCGTTACTTTTAATGGACTCTGTTTGCTCAACTAACAGTAATTAAACATTCGTAAAATATGAATAAAATTGTCATTTCGAATAATTGAACACATACAATCAATTAAAGCAGAAGATCTGTATTACGTTTTTTTACTCTCTGTTGCGCAAAATTTACGATAGACAATGTAAAAAGTACATATTTTCATCACAAGAAATAATCTTTGCGGATAGTACCCATCAGTCATAAAATTTTCGAACTGTACTTTGATACTCACAGTGGAATTTTCTAATTGGTATTGGATAGTCTCTACGGAGGTACGAGATATTTTTTTCCAAGTTTTTGTATTGGGTGACTAATGATCCTACACATTTCTCAGACGACTAGAGTCCATCAAATCGAAAATTTTCAGATTCAAATCTGCCTCGAATCTGATCGGATTCGGGTGTTCGTATCAATTCGATGGGCTCTATCTATGAGATTAAAATGTGAAACATAATGTAGCTACTGTTACCAATTACAGAGAGATTATCTTAGGACACATTTCTTCATCATCCTTTTACTTATTTCTCTAGAACAGTTTTAACAAACGAGAGAACTACCTGAATTAATACCCACTGTTTAAGCTCATATCGTGTTCACAGGGAAGTATAAGTGAAACTAGAAAAATTCTTAAAGAGTTTGTGTGCATGGGTCTCTGGAGTCAAGTTATGACTGTTTTACAGAATTTTCGATCCAACTTTAGGTATTTACTGAAAACTCAAAGAATGGACTTTCGATCTGGAATGTCGCTCATAGATAATTCTGATGACTCTGGGAATATTCTAAAAGTTTCAACCGTAAACGATGTTCCTTTATTGAGATATTGAATTTCTAAAAGCAAACGTTCCTTTGCCACAAAAATCGACTTTACTTGCAAATTCAATGTCTCGATAAAAGAACATTGTTTTGGGCTGGAAATTTTACAATATTTCCAGAGTTATTCAACTTATCTATGGGCAAAGTTTCAGGTCGAAATTCCATTATTTAACTTTTCGGTAAATACCTAAAGCTGAACTGAAATTTCAGTAAAAGAATCATAACTTGACTGCAGAGACCCATGGACATGAACTCTCTTAAAGTTTTTCTAGTGTTACGGAATATCTTCTTGTGAATATAATACGATCTCAAACAGTGGCTGTCAGTTCAAGTAATTTTCTTGTTTGACGAACAAGGATCAGAAAACATATCAACCTTTTCATTGCCATTGATTACTTTTATTTTCTTCATTTACATATCTAAATACTCTTTTAAGTTTTTATCAATTTAACCAAGGATCAAAATCGATAGAGCAAATTGCGAACCAAACCCAAAATGGGGCTATCTCTGTTAGAAACATAAATCTTGTTATAGACTTATTTAATAAATAACCATTACGTCCGATAAGTTTTATATATTTCACTGTGTAGATACAAAATGAGTCAAAAATCACTAATTTGTGTTGAATGACATAAAAATTTGACTTTTCACTAATGTGATGTTTTGATTTCTTTTTTGTAATTGCATGTTGATTTATCTATATACAGCTAAAAATCTTTTACTATAATAAATTGTTTGCAGGAAAAGGAATATATTTGAAAATATTGTGTGATAAGTTTATTTCATCCCAGTCAAAATTTATAACAAGAAATTCCAAAGAAATTAATGTCATCGTGTCAGATATATCTGTTTATTTTGACAACGATAATCTTTAAAACAATTAAGTATTACACTAAATCACCAACAGAGAAGTCATTCGCACTACTTCCATTCAAATCATTAATCGGTGTTCGAGTTATAAAACATTTGAATCCGATGAAGTTGTTGAATTACTATTTTGAGACATTATTTAAAAAAAACAAGTAAGCTAACACAATTGAATAAGATAGAAAATCCTAAGATAAAGAAACGACAACAGAACGAAATAGTAAGTGAGACATATATGTTAAATACGCATGAACGAGACGAATGAACAAGAGTATTTTATTGAAGAGACAAAATGTCCTTCGGCAAGAAATAAAGTGAGAAAATATGACGAAGAAAGAGCTTGAGAATACTCCGTTGTTTTGTTTCGTTGAATACCAAGAATTTTCTAAGATTGATAAACAAAGAAACTAATTTTTCTTTCTTATTCAATCTTGTAGTGTCAAAAAATTGCATGCATTTTCGATTACAATAGGGAAATGGGTCACAAAGACAAAAGTCCAATAACAAAAAAAGAGAATAATGGACGACATAGAGAGAATTAAAACATAGAAATATCAACATCATGACAATTATGAACATAATTATCTGTGTAGAATTATTGAGATAGGACTATCGTTCAATCAAGATGTATCAACATGATGCAAAAGACGGTCTATATGTATCCATTCGGTCATGTATCAAAGGATAATACTATGAGACTAACGTAAGAAGTATTATAAGAGAGAGAGAAACAGTCAAACAAAACAATAGGTCTTTATCTTTTTTCGATAGAATACTATTGAAAAACCATCGCGACTTGCTGTTTGATTAATTATATAGGCATAATAAATGTTTTTTAGCATGAGTATATTGTCAAATACTGAGTTTATATCAACAACAAAATATCTGCAAAAGAATGCATTTTTTCATGTCATTCAACACTAAATGGGTCATATGTGACCCAAGTTGTTTCAAAGAATGGTCTTCCAACGCATTGATTCAATAGTTTGTGAAAATGTTCTGGATGGATAGTTGATATCTTAGGTAATATATATCAACCGTTAAAAAAAAAGTAAATGATCAATCTGCTCTGATACAAAAAAAAAACGGAAAGAAACTGGATCTTTTTGAAAAATCATGATTTTCCAACTCAAATATTCTACCAATAGGCAATGAGAAAAAGTTTAATTCTTTAGCATTTTATATTATATTTAGTGCTGTACACAATGTTAAAGAATCGTCTTGATTCGATTCTTTATTGCTCCAAGCAGATAGGTTTTCTAAATGGATCACAAATAATCCCCTGGGGAGTAAAAGAGTTAAGGACCGAAAAATATAGTTCAAGCTCCATTGATCGAACAATGCTTTCGCATATTTAATCTAAACTTTGAGCCAACAGCTGGTCGATCTCTAAAAGCAAGTAATATATTGATGGTACAGCAATACAACAACCGTTTTAATGTATACCGAGCAAGGCTAATTGAAGATTTATGAGGTATGTGGACAAAAATAGCATGTATCAAGAAACAATTTCAAATTAACCTGCTTATTGAATACAAGGCCAAAATCAAACAAATTGAATATTAATGAAATGTTCCAAAAAGTACCACATTAAAGACTTTATTAAATAAACATTATAAATAAAATTAATATCATATATTTCATTGATTCAATGTATCTTTTTCTTTATTTTTATTATATTAGAAATGGCAATACAGAAATTTCTTTTTTCTTTTTGAAAATCTCCAAATATTTATTTATAAGTTTGTCAAAAATAACATGAAATATGTATTTATATTTACAGTTGCTACAACAACAAAAAATCACCTTGTAATCATAAGACACATCAACTAAATATTTGTTGAATTTCGCAATCAGACTATTAACATATTATTATTGAATAACAAAAAATATTCGAATAAAAATTTACAATCCTTGATAATATGATAAAATAAAAGCAAACGCAATCTGAATAATTACCATATTAAATCAACTTTCGTAAAAGAAATTTTGCCTTGTTCATTACTTTACATCATTAATACATATATATGCAACTCGATTCTTGTCGGTATTTTTTTCCTCTGTCAGAGCTAAAAAAAGCTTGATCTTTAATTCTGTCAACGAAAAAAGAAAAATAACAAGTATTATTGTGAAAAAACTACCGAAAGAAGTGTCAATTCGTACATTATTTTTATGTGTTGACTGTTTTGCTTTTGGCATTTGTCGTTCTTAGTTCTTAGTTTTTTCTTCTCCACGTTTGTTTCATACAAAACCCACAGCAAAGTTTTTCTTTTTAAGAAGAAAAAGAACATAAGAATCAATATCATTCTTCAATGAAACTAAAGCTTATCTAAGCAAACCAATACAGGTGTCTTCATGTATCATACAAAAAAGAAAAGAAAAAGGAAAAAAAACGAAATCGAATTAAGAAAAAAATAGAGGAGGTGGGGCATGATTTTTTTTTGTAATCAATTCATTCATTTGATTCTCTAAAACTTACAATGGTACGTGCCATAAATAAATAAAAGTACATTAGTGAAATACTTAAACAATTGCAACTAAAACATTTATTCTCTATCATTAACATATATCAACGATCAAACTATGTCGGCGGAACATCGGCCAGGAGGAGGTGGTGTTGGTGAGGGTATTGGCCATGTTTTAGCATCATCAACTACACCATCTAGTAGTAATGGACATGCCGTATTCAACAATTCATCATTTGATCGTAATACATTTGTGCTTATGTAAGCATTTAATACTAGTCTTTTTTTTTTCTATAAAAAACGAAGAAAAACAAACCATGATTTTATAAACAAAAATTAAAAAAAGATTAGGCGTTTTTTCTTTCTCATTGTCCGATATCAAATGTATTTAATAAATAATTAATTAATAATACTTTTTGTAGCATATTCTATTAATGAATATCAAATAACAATAATAAATAAATAAAGAAATTGTTTATTTATTTTTTCTTTTATTTCAGGCTTTTAGCCATTTTACTTCCAATTGCTCTCATCGTTATTCTTTGCGTTGTTACATATTGCATCTATAAATACAATAGAAAATTAGCTTCAAGAACACCAACAGATGCTTCAATAGGTACATAATTAAATATAATATTTTCTTTATAATCATCATTCTTAAATTCTTTTAGTACCATCTGATCGATTTGATGCTCGTACTGCTACAGTTATTTATAATACTCAACATAGTCCATTTATTTTCGAAGATTTACCACCTTCATATGATTCACTAGGAGATAGTAAAAAACATCCATCTAGTACAACAACAAATCCAAATGAACAATTTTCATTGACAATATTACCTAATACAACACTGACAGATACTGATGAAAGAATAGAAGCAGTAGTAATTGATCCAACAGCACCTACTCCACCACCATCTTATATCAATCTTGATGAATCAAATAAATCATAAACTACTATAAAATCTCATTGAACAGTGTTTATAATCTGCCTGGATGAATTATTTATATTTTTCATGGTGAATAATATTGATTACTTTCAAAGTTTTCCATTTTCTATTTTTTTTCTTTTTTTTTTTTTGTTAAAATACAGACAATGATATTAATTTTATATTAAATCAGTAAAATTAGTGGGATAGTTAATATAAATTTGAACAATTTTTATCAATTAGAATTAGCTTCTATTTTTGATTTGTTAATGAGAATCTATTTAGATTTATTTGTTGATAATGCATAATAAATTTAACCTTTACTCAAAACAGAACCATGATCTTGACGAGTTCTCTTTTATAAGATACTCATGTTAAATTCTGAGCATCCAATTACTGGAATTCTATACTCAGTAGATAATGAGATACTAGCGATTAGTATGAATTAATAATCATTTGAATACTTTTTTGTTGTGCAGAAAAATCCAATATTTAATGTCGTAGTAATAAAAAATAATAAATAAAAAAGGAAGTGCATAAAAATATCTCATTTTATTATTAAATTTTCTAGTATATCTATGTCAAGAATAATTAGACATATTTCATTTCATTCTCATTTTGTCGATATTAATAAATATTTTGTCTTTGATTGTCAAATAACCTTCTGAATATCACTAAAGAAGTAGAAGTTTGTTTTTTTTTGTCTGTAAAATATTTGATCTAATTATAAAACAAAACACGCTTTCATTTTACGATCTTCTAATGTATCCATGCAAAAAAAAATGTGACACAAACACTCGTTTTAGCAATCCATGATAATTTCTTTCATTATGTATTGTTTGTAGATTAATATGAGAGACACATGAACATGAGAACAAGAAAAAGAATTATTCTGTTCTTACTGGTGAATGGTTATGGAAAAAAGACTTCAATTTCATTAACAGTGACAATAAAAAAACAGACTGTTGTAAAAAAAAAAAAAGTACTTTTTTTCTTTTACTTTAAAGACGAAGCAATTCACAGCGTAGGAAACGATAAAAAAAGAGATGATTTTTTTTTGCTTTTTCTTTATAAAAACAGAATCGAAAAATAAGCAAATATACTTTGAGTCGATCATATACACATGTAAGCGTTGACAAAGGTAAAAAAAATGAATGTGGGAATTGCTACCAGCTTAGCTCTGTTCTTCTTCCAGCAACTATTGATTGTCAAGGTTATATATTGAAATGAAAATTTATTTGTTTTTAAATTTTAATTTAATAGATTCAAGCAAAGGAACAATGCAAATATAATAATGCAAATGGCACACAATCTACTATTTAGTAAATTAAAAAATGTACCTTATTTTCAAAAACAAAGATGTTTCTTCTTTGTTTTTTAAATAAAGTTGTAGCGATGATTGTTGTTCATCTGTAGCTTCATCGGCTGATACAGCATGTTGTTCAAGTATTTCCTGGAGTTCATTGTATGAAATTTTGTTTATGTTATTATGTTTTTTTTATATTCATGATATCTATTTTGTTAGAGCAATTCCTTTTTTTATCGTTGCTGGAATTTGTTTTCTTGTTATTTGTTTCATTTATTGTCGACCATTATGGAAAGTATGTTTATGTGGACATAGATGTCCTTTTGGCAATAGAACACAAGGTACGTTATCGGTTTTTCTTTTCTTTAAACTCAATTATAATATACAATATTTCAATTATGATCTAGTTAATTCATCAATTTCTGCAACAGCCAATGATAATCCAACTCATGTAATGAACAATGATGATTTACCCGATTATGAAACTATTGTAAAAGATTCATCAATGAAAGAAACTACACCACCACCATATAATTTTGTTGCTTCACATCCAAATGATTTTGGTATTGAAGCACGTATTCCAAGTGCACCACCTCGATATTATTCAAGACACAACTCAGTAGTTACAGTTCATACAAACATTCCTATCGAATCATAAACTATATGTATATTGTCAAAAATCGTATTTTTTTCTCTCGAATTGGTGCTCAATTAACTAGTTTCTTTACACTGTCTCATTTTTTTTCGTTATGTTTTTTTGTGTCAGTGTAAACGATACCAAATTTTGTGATTTCTACGAACAATATTGTTTTTTTATATTAAAGCAAAACAATTCTATAAGTTTTATTTATGCATCGATACCTCCTATTATATATTAAGAATGTCATCATTGATAAAGCGACACATGCATAGAAAAGAAGCTATTTCGATAACTGAAGGATATACGAGTAAAAATGTCAAAGATAAAAGAGGACGAGACTAAGCAGTATTACCTCCAAAAAAGAAGTAACAACATGATTTCTTTGATCATTAGTCACGAGTTAATCCCTATGGAGAGGAAGTGATGGTTGCAAACTTCAGCTCATTCTTCCTTTTTTGTTGTCATCTTGTTTCAATCTTATTTAAATGAACCAATAGTTCAATTTGACATTCAATACACATGTTTAAATATAACACCTGACAATCATTCATTTTCTTTGATTACCTCTCTACTTGGTAATTAAGTATCATTTTCTAATGCATCTAGTAGTTAAATTAACCATTAAATTATCCTTGTTTGATGTTCACCGATATACTCTAATTCAATACAATATACCAAGTACATATATCAGCTGGTATGATCGTACATGTAATGTAACAGTTAATTCAATATTGATTCGATAATTAAATAAAAAAAAAAATTTAAGTTATATTCAAAAGTCATGACATTAGACATGAAATTTCTGTTTTATTATTAGTACATATGTATATAATATTGAACGGAAATGTACTTTTTCTGTATATTCTAAATATTATTTTAATACTCGAGAGTACAATAAGAAGAAATGAAAAATATGATGTTATCTGTTTATCTTCAGTTCCGATATGCTTGTAAACATATTGTATATATACATATGGCGTAGCTTATTTCGTTTAGACTAAACGACGCCTATGACATGCTGTTTATAACAAGCAAAAACAAAAAGAATAAATATATAATGATAATAGGAAGATACAAAGTTCGTCGCAATGATTTATAGGCACCTGCAGTCGACGCCAATATCATGCAGATTAAAATGACTGACGCCAAAATGCAATTAGATAAATTAATTTAAAGATGATTCATAATTGATGTGTTGATTATATAGGCTAATGTTTCTTTTACGGTTAATTTTTCGGTCACTTTGATTTAAAATAGTAACATTTGTTTTGTTAATAATTATATTCAATGTACAATTGAATAGACACGATTTTTCTATTCCTATTGTTCCCCAATGAATAGTATGTCTAGTCATCATATATATACATGTATATATTCGGTATCTTTTTAAATAAGAAGTAAAACACGTGGCAGTTTGCAAACATTGACAAGTATATAAAATTAACGCGGTAGAACATCAAATAGCAAAAAGAGTATAATCAATTGAGACATTCTACTTGGAAAAAAAAAGAGACAAACGTATTCTCAAATGATGAGTAAATTCATGTCTCAATTGACCTCTTGTAGAAGAGAACAATGAAAGTAATGATCTGTTATTAGTATTCCTAATATCAATGATGTCTGTTAGAAAAAAAAATGCCATATAAGGATAGGTGAGAGTCTTTTGTTGTGCTCTATTGAATGAGCAGCTTATTGTTTTTCTCTACACGATCTATTCACACCTATTCAACCGTATGTGTTGTATTGTTTTCATTGACTAAACAAAACAACTTTTTTTTATTCTAACAAAAACAGTAGAAAGCAACTATTCAATTAAAAATTGAATAAAATCACATATTGATTTACTCCGCCTAGCATCAATATGATCGATAGCTATTTTTCATGTATCACACATATATGAGAATCAATTTGTAAAAATAAAATGTTGGTATACATCTCTTTATTATCCACCAGGTGTATTTAGTTCGATTTTTTTCTTTGTTAAATAAATTTTTGACCTTGAATTGTTGAGAGCATTGTGCACTTTTCAATGCCAAAGAAATTTAAATAGAAAAATAATGATGATGATGACAACAATACGAAATGCATGCTAATATTTACTTAAACTGTTTACACTGGGAATTGGTTTTTTTTTGTGCTCTATGGCATCAAAAAAAATATTTTCTAAAGAAAAAAAAAAAGAAATTCGGTCAATCAATATTCATTATGAGAGCTACTGTCTATATGAATCTTTTTGATCGGCAAGACATAAGTTAATAAAGCGTGTTCACTTTGATATATGAGAAGAATATTATTCATTATTGTTCTTTTAAACACAGCACGATAAACCGATATATAAACATTTCATAAGATCAAACACGACGACTTTGTTGAAAATACTATCTGTTTCGATAGATTTTTTAGTTAAATTCCATTTTATTTACTTCATCAACATATGCTTCACATTTGACACTATCAATCAATTGATTGATCGATCCTACTTAACACTCAATTATCTTTTATTTACTATTCTCGGATAACATATACGTCCTATTTCACTTACTAAATACTTTAGGGATTACTTCTACATTCTATGGTAATATAGGTTACATCTAATGTGAATTAATTCTCTCGATGGAATGAATCCTTTTTATTTTTCGAGTGATTATTAAAAGTTCATTCATGAAGATGACAAAAAAATCAATCATTATTTTTACACATATTGCACCTTATTTTCAGATAAAGATAATCAACTAAATACACATTAGCTTGAAAGAAATAATTAGTATGTGTACGATAAGTGAAACAATCGGATTTTGATCATTACAAAAGATAGAATTCTTAGACTCGATTAGCATTGTTGTTAATTATCGTGCTATATTTTCATACACGATATATTTCCATGACAGTAAAAAAAATAAAGAAAAACTATTCTTTTCAAAATCAATTAATCATCAATTTTGTTCTTTCGTTATTAACTCTATCTATTTACAAATCTTTTATTACCCACTGTGACCAGAGACGTATTCTCTAAGAAAAAGCATAAAGCAAAGACTCGACATTTATAGAAAAGAAAGGAAACAAGTATCGGTCAAGTAATCAGGAAAAAGGAGGAGAAGCAAGACAAAGTAATCATCAGTCTGTTGCTAGACAACATATACGAAAAGTTGACCGTAAGGAAAAGGAAAGGACAAACGAAAGGCGAATTCTTTCCTTCGCTTGTGTTCAATATCTCATCATACTCAAGAGAAGAGAACGATAGAAAAAGGAAAGAAATACAATTATAGATTGCTTCTCTCATCATCGACACATAAATTAAAGAGTAGTGACCCTTAATCATTCATTCTATCAAAAACACGATTACATATCGGCTGCTTGTGGACACTTGTTCTCTTCTCTCGTATTGACGTGTTGATACAATACACCATCTATATACGTACGAGGCCGCTATATATCAAGGTGTTATAATGACAAATATAATGATATTTCCATTTAGTATTATAACACATAAAACAACAATGATTGTTAATATTAATAAAAAATCTCAATCATCACATTCACATTTACCTGATATTGTTAATGATTGTGAACAACAACTTCAACATCAAGTTCTTAATTTTACAAATGATGATACTATGAAAATAACTTGTAAACAAATTGCACATTCACTTCGACTTGTTGCTGATCAAGTTGATAAAAAATATTGTCAAGTAAGTTAATTAAATAATTATATATTTTTTTTCGACTTTAAATTAATACAAACATTACGTAGCACACTGTTCTCTTAATAGAACAAATAAACTTTTTNTTTTTCATTTGAATATGTACATAATACTACAAACGATTCTTTTCACTATCAATATCGAAAGATTTATTGATCGATTCACATTATATATTTTTTTTTTCTTTAAATTAAATTAATTTTTTCTTTGTTTATTTAGGATACTGATTTTAATCGAAATTTTCAGTATTTCTCAATACGTCTTATGTTTCATTCAATATTTTGTACATTATGGACACGATCATTGTTATCATATATCCTTGTTTTTTGCAAAACAAAAATATTCTTATATTAAATAATAATAATAATAATATATTTACATTATTGTTTTAGTCGTTTTTTTTTTTTTTTATATTTATATGCAAAAAAAAGTTTATTTGTTCTATTAAGAGAACAGTGTGCTACGTAATGTTTGTATTAATTTAAAGTCGAAAAAAAATATATAATGTGAATCGATCAATAAATCTTTCGATATTGATAGTGAAAAGAATCGTTTGTATTATTATGTACATATTCAAATGAAAAACTTCGTAACAAAAAGGATTAGATTTATAGGATAATCGATTAAATTTGATAGGATATATAAATAAAAATAAATAACCATCTATAATACTGATATCAAAGTGACTTTTTAAAATTATTGTGTAGTGAGTGTTTGTTCAAGATTATATTTCTTTGAGTGTAGATTCGATCAAATATGGAATGATTCTTGCAAAATTAAAAAACACTTCGTTAAGAAGTAAAATGTAGACAGTTTTTTTTTCTGGATTTTAGATCGATATCAACTAATTTTCTTTTTGTTTTATTACACTTGAAACAAATAATTTTGCATGACCTTAATAAATTATTAAAAGATTCAGTTGACACAATGAGTTCAATTTTTAGAGATACTCTATCGAGTTATAGAAAGTCGAAAGCTTCTGAAGATTTTAATAGATTTCTAATATACAATACGTGTTTGCAAACCAAGAAATATTTTGATTTGTATGACGAATGAGTGATGTTTAAGTATCATATTAGCAGGTCATGTTAAATTTAGATATAAAGAAAAGAGGTTTGTTTTTCTTCAAACATCGAATTAGAGGCGTGTAGGAAATTATGGGAAGGGAGTTGTAAACGGAGACACGAGATTCATTTTGAATCTGGCCACCAGAAATAGATGAGAATTCGGCAGATTCGATCGTTTCCGGCCATATTTTCTTGACTTGAATTCGCTTTGAGAACTGTTCGTAATAGTTTATGTCATTTGGTCTTAATA